AATCATACCCTCTGCAAGAGTACAAAGAATGAACAACTCCACGCACTAGATTCTACTGTCAGTTCGGTCTGCCCTCCCACTCATCCTTTGGGATTAGAAATTCATTTAGACAGTGGGTTAGGCTTTAGAAAAGTGTAGGCCTGAGAGCGTAAATTTTCGAGGCAAACTAAAATGCAATTTTGTGGACGACACGAACTGCATTTTGGGCAACCCGATGGCCGCGCCAGTCGACTCCGCTGTGCCGTTGATGTTTGTTTATGGGCAGCGCCTTTCATTAGTGGCCAACTTGATGGCTGGCTGGCAGGAATAGCTGTCAGTTTAATGTCATTTATATGCCACGATTTGCTGAAGCCAGAAAACTTTCCTGAATCACGACGATTCAGTGCACGTTCTTTGTCTCCTGGGCTACCATTTAGTGGTTGGTTAAAGAGCGTTCCATTCCGATGATTTCCATTTTCTCGGTATTTTATTTTAAGTGATATTTTTGCAATCATTTTCTCAGGGGAAAATAGGAACTGAAACAAAAAAAAAGCTTGTGAATAGAATCGTATTGTTTTGGCCTCAATGAGCCATAGATATCTCCCACAAGGAACTCCCCAAAAATATCCTGCCGCATCGGTTTCTTTTTATAAAAACTGTGACAAACTGTCTTGCCATCTGCATCCATCTGGATGGCTCACTTTGTCCAATCATTTATCTGTCTGAAGATTTTTTTTGCCGTTGAGGGCAATTTCGTGTACAAAATATGGTTTTCATTCATTTTTCCCATGATTTTAAGTTGTCCGTTTATTCATTTCATTTATTTTGTTGGCCAACTTAATGCTTGAAGTGATCTAAAAAGTTCTTAAGGTATGGTTGATGAATAAATTATGGAGCATTTCAGATTGCATTCTTTCAAATGTTGTGTGATTTAAGTAAATATGTAGTTTAATTTAAATATTTTTGTTTTTTCAGATAAGACTCTATCTGCCTACAATATCAGGTAAGAGCATAAGTCATTTCCCTTTGATAAAGTTGCACCTCCTATCCTCACCACCATTCTGATCAATCCCCACCATTCCATTTCCCCGTTTAATTGATTTCGATTGTTTCGTGTCCCATTCATCTTTTTTCCTCGCCATCGACATTACTGAGCATCGGACAAAACTCATAACTGTCATTGTTATTGCTTTCGAGGTGGTCCTATTGTCCGGCAATACTTCGGCTCAAATGAGGCGTAGGCCTCGCCGCCTGATGAACTGCACACAAATGTACCAGAATGCCGGGAAAACCGAAAGAGACGACCGGAAGGAAAAACTGTTTGCAAAAACTATGGTTTTCCGTCTGGCGGTTGCCAGGAAGCCCATTTATCAGGCTGTGCGAAGTCGTTGAATGAAACTGTTTTGCTGGTGAATGCAATTTAGCGTAAAATAATAGTTTTTTTTCTCATTCCTTCTAACAGCTCTAGCCCAGAGCTATATGGGTGCTCCATGAATGCAATTCTTTATGGGAGAGCTCTATGAGTGGAGTGAAGCCAGATAATTGCGGCTTTCTGTGCAATGGAAATTAACTTTCAATTGGGAAAGCTTTACAGTAGAGTAAATAACATGAAAGGAGTCCGGGGCAGGCCCGTTTGGATCCATCACAATGAAATCAGCGAGAATGCCCAAAAGCCTATGCAACAGAAAGTGTTTTTCCGGCCCGGTAAAAAGAAGAAATCCCTGCAAAAAAAGAAGCCGAAACACTAACAGAAATTGGGTCTAATAACAGTATTGAGTAGAAATGGCAGAAGGAAAAAAAGTGGTAGACTGCCGGGAGGAATTAGAAACCAATTTACTTGTGTGTGTGTACGTTCCTATAGAGAAAAAAATAGTCAAAATAAACTGAAATGCTTTCACTGGGATAAAGAGACACCATTCAAACAGAACTCTGAACTCGCACGGTTTTAGTTAAAAATAAATCTTTGTTTTTAATTGGCAGCACCTTTAATGCTTGACTTCCCCGTAAACGGGAGAGCGGGCCGCAAAGGTTGCTACGAGTGACCTTCTCCTTAAAGACCATTCCGATTGGCATCTGTCAAATTAAATTGCATTTAAAGAGCTTAAAGGTCGAGCCGACATCAACAGAATCAGCTCCAGACCAAGGCCCATCTGTCAATGGCAATGATGATGAGGGTTTTACCCCTTTATCGACGTAAATTTATAAGGACTGACAGCTCCCAGGGAGAAATGGGAATTTTTTGTATGGCCAAGTGTGCAAGTTGATTCGCTACCAGACGTCAGATATCCTTGATTATTAGCAACAGATTTTTCACTATATACATATGTACATATTAATATATAGGGAGATAAATACATACTTCGGGCTCAAAGAAAAAAAATTATTGTAAAGTGCCATTTCATACACATTTTCCTTGAAATAATTGTCTGTGCACTTTTATTATGATCATTCAAAGTTTAATTTAAAAGTTTTTTAACGAACAAAGTTCATCCTGTTGATGTCATGTGGGTTGGTTATACTTTACATCCATAGGGATGTATAATTCCATGTAAATGTATAAATTTGTTAATTAATTGTGTTGATGAGAATATATATCTGATAGCTGACCGTTCGAGGATACACTCGGACATTGTGCTCCCGTCATTGGTAGTTCTCCTGTCAGTTTATCTCCTGCATTATTCAAATGAGCCCGCGACAAATTCTATATGAAACTACAACAATCAACATGCTTTATTACATTACACCCTTTCACCTTTCACACCTGTTCCAATAAATTTCGCAATTGCAAAGTACGTGTCAGTATGAATTATTTATACAATTAACGTTGCCTATTTGAAATGCAATTTAATTCCTCGAAAGAGCAATGACAGAGCCCATTCGCACGCACTTTCCTCCACACAGAGGTATCCCGAGATACATTGGTAACAGGCAGAGGGCAAAAGAAAGCACTGGAAAAGATAGAACAGAAAAAGGATTCAAAGAACAGGAGCAAATTATACGGCGTTCTGTGCCGATGCCGTGGCCAAGGATAGTACTGGACCGGACCTGCTGAACATTGCAACGAGAGTCGCATTGCAATTGAATTAATTAATATTTAAATGCTTCCCATTCACCATTTTGCGCCCTTTCGCCTGTCTCTTAAATGCAAATTTATTGGTTTTTTGACGGTGTGGACAGGGCCACAAAAAAAAGAAAGAAAATGGAATAAGGATAAGGAATTACACATTTTGCCACGCAGGTCCGCAAAAGAAGTACTCAAGTAGACTAGGGTTTGGACACACCTGCTGTTACGTATCGAAAGTTTCCAGGGGGATATTAACAGGTTTCCAAGATGTCACCGAACGAAAGTGGTGGCATTAACTGGGATAATGAAAAACTGACTGGATCCCAGGCAAACTTAATGCAAATAGTGGAAAAGACCAAATACAACGAACGTGAAGATAGTTTTAATAGAAACCCAACATTTAAGCTAATCGATTAAATTATTTATTTATTTCGTTAAGTGACAGATTAATTGATCTCGATTTGGGCAATTAGCTTAAATATTTTCCAAAAATTAAGCTGCCAATTAAGGTGTATTAATCACCCAAGGCAAGTCACAAAAAGTGACAGAAATGTTTCTGTGAAATTGAAATTGTAACTCCGGGCGATATTAATGTTTTCTCTCGCTCTCAGTCTCCCCATCTATCCATCAACCTGTAATGTTGGTCTCTGATTTATTTATGAGGCAAACACACAGCTTGAAGCACTCAATCTGAATCTCTGGTGCTCTCTGGCAAAATCTGTGCCTGAGAAATTCCATCTCAGGTGGGTGACGAGGATAATGGGTATTTGCTTGAATACCAAATTTGGAGTGGGTCAATAATATGTTTAATACTTATGCTATACGATACTTAAAGAACATACATATGTATATCAACAAATTTCCATGGATTTCAGCAATGAATAAATAACATTAAGCAGAAATTTTAATGGTAAAAAAATAACCAAATTTAATATTCTGTCTCGTTTCTATTGGAGAGACAAATGTTTATCAAATACATGAAACGACACTCACTAAACTTGTCCAACAGAAATTAATTAAATGTATTTAACAGAGAAAGGGATGTCATATTGAGATGCTCCATAAGTGTCTGGCTCTGGCTGTGGCCCTGGCTTTGGCTCTGTCGAAACTGCGAGTGCAATGCAGATAAACGAAGCTAATTACCAAAAATGTAAAAGTTCTCAAAACGCTGTTCAGCTGCGTTTCCCCACGTTCCAGTGCAGGCGAAACAAACTTTGTATAGTCTACTGCTATTAGACAACGATTGCCTCCCCGGTGTGGGGCTCCATCTCCATCCTTTCACATCCTCGACGGCGCGACAGCACTTAGGGGGGGGGGGGGGGGGTGGGGGGGGGGGAAGTTGTCTATAGAAGGTGATCTTCCCTATCAAGAGAACCCGAATTTTTCACAAATATGCTGAATGTTACGACACCTGTTGAGTTCCGCAAAAGTTTATCAACTCTATTCGAGACATGCAATTTGTATTTTTCATACATCTCAATCCGCACTAATTATGGTCAAAACTTTTGACTCAAGGAAAAGCTCATTAAAATCACCCAAGACTGGCGTTAAGCGGACCTGCTGTTGAAGCCAAAAACTTTCGCACACCTTCTGACGTGACAGGCCTGCTGACATAGAGAAGGGATCAAAACCAGGGCAGGTAAAAAAAGGGACTTGGGCCGATCGGCGACGCGCAGGTAGGAGGCTGGGCTACTGCGTCGACTGCCTGGCTTCCACGCACAGTCTTCAGCAGAGGGAGTCGAAGAAAAGAGAGGCTCGCAGCGGCGACAAGGCCAAGAGCAGCCAGAGCCGATCGAGGACGAGGGAGCTCCACGGAGCTCATCGCCAGACCGTCCGCTGACATGCCTTCCGGAGGCCATACGCAGCTTGGCACGCCTTCAAGCCGTGCTCAAGCCGTAAAAGCCAGTTGGCAAGGGGGTAAACGTAACAAAAGAATTATTTATTCATGTAACCAGTTCTTACAATGTTTTCTAAATAAATGGTTTTTCATCGTCAATTAGCCAAAAATTAAAAAGAACAAAAGTAAAGATTCGATGGAAATTTTACACGAGGCAAACGGACGACCGAACGCTTTTCAGGCATATTTTCTTCAGTTTAACTTAACTTGTGAGTCGCTTTTCTTTTCAGCAACTCCAGCTTCTGGCAGCACCCTCGCCTGATTATTACAAACGTGTCTCTGAGGCCCAGACTTTAGCCTACAATTTTTTTTGCATTGAGGGCAATGGTAACGACCCTCGCCAGTGTGGACACCAGTGTGCCTTAGCAGGTTATCCATGCGAGTAAATTTCTTCACGCAATACGTGCACTGGAAAGGACGTTCGCCAGTGTGAGACCGAACGTGTCTCTCCAGGCTTCTTTTCAACGAAAATACTTTACCGCACTCCTGGCACGGAAAATTCAGATTTCTGGTTTGGGATAAAATACAGGTTAAGAAGAAACCCCATTAGGTGAAAGGATGAACTTACTTTGACAATGATTTGGTCTTCTTGGTGTGACTTGAGATATTAGTGTCAAGGTCGTTGCTGTTGTGAATAAAAAACTATTTAATGTCTATTTAATCATTCGATATGATTGAAAACGTACATCTTTGGCAACGGTGGACTTCTTGAGCGACTAGAGGTATCATGGCTGGAAAGCACTTCCAAATCACTCTCCACCGACTCTGGCTTCCTCTTTTTCGGTAACGGACTACGATCAATTGTGTTCCTAATTCCAAGAGGTTTCGTGTTGCTGATTTGTTGGAAAAACTAGCATTGATTCGGGTTCGCAGGCATATTATGTACTTACAGTTCGGACGTCTGCTTGTTCTTGTGACTGGTTTCACGTCTATTTAGATGGCTCTCAGACATGACTCCTTTGCCACACACATCAGGGAACAGCAACTTGCCACAGTGACGACTGGGGGACAATATTAATTATAGATTATGTATAAGCTCTGCTCAATAATACTTACCTCTGCCTCTTATTGGCTTGTAAATTGTTGTGCATGTGAGCCTCTGCTTTTGCCACCTGGGCCAGCTTGTGCATCTGCTCCATTTTGTTAATGGCATGGGTAAGCATTGAAACGCTCATCTGCGGACGAGTCTGGTCATCAGCGAAGTTCCTTAGAGAATTCCTCAATGTGTAAGTGCCTTCTTCTTCGCTGTCATTTTCAACCGCCTCGTCCGCCGTCTCTTGCAACATAGCATTATTGAGCACCGCCTCAATGGCATGCATTTCCCTTGCACGTATGCGATCCTCCTCTTCATCGCTGCTTTCGATGGTGTACGTTTCTTCATTGATAACATTGTTTGATAACAAGCGTTGTTGATAATTTGCAAAGCTTTTGTCCAATAACAACTTATATCCATATGCAGTCTGGACTCCATGAATGCAGTAGGGACAAATAAACTGCGGCATAGAGTCCCCGCGTACCACAGAATGCTCAGGTGCGAGCTTGCTGATGACACAGGCGGGGCTGCTTTCAGATATGTTCAATCTGAGATCGCAAATTTCGGCGAATATGTCCACCAGAGGAGCGGAACCATCCAGGCACACGCGGCACACGTACTCCATTTTTCACGTTTTTTTAAGTCGCCTCAATCTAATTCTTTGTAAACTTCGGCGTCCATCCACGCGTCGATTTCCGATAAAAAGCCATGTACTTAGCTGTGAGCTTTAAAGGGTTAATCGGCGGTATGTACATTGCAAAAACCTAATGTCACATTTAAGGGGTCAAAGTCTGCAGATTTTGTCCATTCAAATTGTGTAAAGCAACAATTAAGTCTTGTTGATTTTTTTATTAAAGCATAAACTAAGTAACATTTCTGCGCGTTGTTTTATAGTTTTTTGTGGATGATTTTTGTGCCGCTCAAAATCCACGCGCACTTTTCCAACGAAAACCAAACAGGTTGGCAGCACCACGGGAGTCAGCTGATTATAATAATAATAATAGATAGGCGAGTGGAAATGATCTGTCTCATTATTTTGCTGGTCTCAATCGATTTTCGAATCAGTAATTGCATTGCGCTCAAAAAACTTCCCAACGCGGCGGATATTTTCAGCTCATCTGTCAGTCGTCGCCACCAGGTGGAAAATAAATTAGGCGACACTTCAGCCAAGCCTTGTGCTCTGTTGTCGGTTGGAGTGACAGATAGGCTGTGTTGCCGTTGCCGTAGAATTGCCTACTTTCCCATAAATTCACGCAAAACAGGCAACAAGACGTGTTTGTTGGCCCTCTCTTCGCACCGTACCCGGGTTCAGGCCATTTGTCCACTCATTATTGGTTGCCGCTTGCTGCTGCCAAGAAAGTGCTGCTTATTGGAAACGTGTTTCAAGTCCAATCCTCTTTAAGTTTGCCAAAATTGTCTCTCATTATTTTTGGCGGGGGATCACAACCCTGACCGCAGCTTTCTGGTCCATGGTCCATGTCCCTGACCTGTCAGTTTCACTAATTAAACCGCAATGAGCTTCACTCAGCAGGCCCTACAGCGTCCTTTATTGGTGAAAGTGAGCGGAAATACAAAAAACGTGTAACGTAAATGTTCGAATGCTCTGTAAAAATATCAGCTACAATTTTATTAGTATTGTTATTAGTGTTGACTTTCCTCGATTTTCCTATTTTTATTCTCACTGATTTTATGAGAAGAACCCACTCCGGGTCGCGAGAGAACAATGTACATAAAGGGTGCAATTTCATTTAAAATGCATAATCGCACAGATTGATAAGGACCCAACCACAGTTCAGAGACCACTAGGCATGGTGTTCAACTTATCAACTTTATCAGTATCAACTTTCCCTCCTCCTAAATTTGAAATTTCAAATTTCTGTTGGCGCTCAACTCCTACCCGGTTGACCGAACTCCAACAGTCTGGCAGCCCCGGTTCATTTAAGGCGGTCCGGCAGCACAGTCCGCGAAGAAACTCTGCGCGATCACCTGTCTGGCAGCTTTGTGATCAGCTGCTAGAAACGGAGAGCAGAAAAGTTGTTTAACATTTTTTTTCTTCCACAATCAATGGCGCCAAAGCAGAGGTTCACACCTTTCCCATTCCTGCGTGGAGCGCACTGTCTATGCCCCTACAACCGGGCGGGATATCGTCGAGGCCAGCTTTCACACACAGTATGTACCGACGCGGTAGTAACCTGCTCTCAACAGCTTTCCTTTTAGTTTCAGGAGTGGCACGGATTCAGTATACGGAAAACTTGGAGTTTGCAATGAAACACAACCGCAGTTGATAAACCGATCATCTCTCCCTGCATAGGTGTGTACCTGTGTGTGTTCACGAGTTCATATGTGGGTGAGTGCGTAAATTAAAAGCAATTCTAAGTTCTTTGGTGCGTAAAGATGCTGGGCCAACACTCCCCACACAAATTGTATTCCCACAGACAAACCATTCGTCTGCATCCATCTCTTAATTTTGCTCTTAGCATCATTCATGGTAGATTAAGCAATTGGAATTGGATTAGACATAGAATACCCCGCACTACAACTCGAACAACTTTAATTAGCATTTTCTGGAAGTCCTGCAATCTGAGCCAACCCTCTGTAAAGTCCAAGGATTATACAGCTGTAAGCCCCTTTCTGCGGCCCCACCTCAAGTGCATCACTTGGGGTGGAGGGTTAAGTAAATACTCAATCTTTAAACTTTCTTTGGCAGCTGGCAAATAAATGAATGTTGCCTCTTAAGTTCACTTCTCTAAATTACGGCCCATCTCGAAAGTATTTCCAGCTGCAACTGCAACAGCATTCTTTAGAGAGGAGATTCGTATGTATCATACATTTATTCCAAGATGTTGCCGTCCGCAGAAAGAAAAATAAAAAATGTGAGTCAAAACTTGTGCACATCGATTTAGCCGTGGGTATTCCTTACCCTACTGAAACCTAAAACATTCCCAGCCCCTTGAAAGCATTTAAAAAGTTGTGGAACATTTAACTTTTGAACCAAGGAAAAGTAAAAGAAAGAAAAGTTTTTGAAACTGAATTTGAAATGGTAGCCAGCCCACGTATCGATTGCAACCAGAGAGCAAACATTATCGCTGAAGAAGGAGTAGCAATTGGGGAAACTGACTTAGTATTGGGACTGCTTTCTGTTTAAGTTAACAAGAAGCAGAGCAAAGAAAGAACGGTTTAATTTCGGAGGCGAAATGGTATCGAAATAGAAACAATTAAAATGTCCTTTCTTAACAGCACCCCTTCTGTTACTTAGGTTAAAAATGGATGTGCCTCATACTCATGATGGAGAAGTTTAATATCGTCTACAGCCTCATCCATCCGGACAGGCTAAACGCCTATCCGAGGATTTGTCTCAGCTCAACAAGTGCGTGGAAAAATCCATAATTTAGTACATCGATTCACAAATCTATCAAGTTTTTTAGTTTAAAGTTAAAATAGAGAGTAATTCCACTAGATCGAGCCACTTCTGTGTAAATATTTTCCATCATATATCGCACTCATCCGCAACTTTGCAGACTGTTACTTGAACACAGTCTACTAATTGGTGTAGAGACAGGACGCTTACGCCTAACATACACTTGACACGGCAACAGAGGGCCAGTCGGAGCACGAGTATATTTTATAGAAGAATTAAATTTCCGAATTTCTCTCCAAACATTTTAACTTGCCAAACTGCAGCAAAAACAGGCTAAGGCAGCAACCGCTGGATCTAATAAAATTGGGTAGACATAGAAAATTGAAGCTAATACTTAAAACTTTTGCCTTTTGCATGAAAAGTTTTGTTCCAGTCGAAATTCCGAATGACTTCATAAATGCTTGGCCAAGGACCGCTGTGTATGTGGGTCCTTTATGATTGTGCTTTAAATGCTGCTGACCCAAAGGCAAAGTTTCAGAAAGAGCTCAATGAAAATTTTGAATTGATTTCGTTAATTTGTTGTGGGGAGTTTTTCTCCTGACCCTTATTTTTGCATTTAAATACAGATTTTTCGAGCTCGAACCCAAGCACGGGTGTCATTTTCCCAAACATCTAACACAACCCGCAGTCATCAACATTTTTCACAGCGAAAAGGAAAACAAAGGCCGGGCGAGACATTTGACAACGCTACTGGGTAAACAAACATATCTGTTGCCATGGGATAGGGGGTCATTTACCATTCTGAACCTGATATTCCGGCACTCCCCCACATACCCATCAACCAGATGAGCTCTCATTTGTTTGGCATACTTCTAGGTGTCACCCAGCATATGAGGCTGGGTCATTAAAGCAATGCGATGGCGGGGTGCTGTTAACGTGGCAGCAAATTTTTTACGACGCACCCAAAAAGAGTGGTAAACAAGACTTTTTGGCAGATACATCTATGTACGTTGAAGTAGAACGACGTAAGTCGGAACTCTTGTGGAGAATGGGCTGTCTAGTGGTAAACTAATGACAAATGGTTTGGTTTTCGGGGGCACAACTCTCAGCCATTTTAATAGACCGAATTTAATAAAGTTGTAGGAAAAAATATTGTATGTCTGTGTGAAAGTGAAGAATGAGGTTGAGTGGAACGGAGAGTGTAGACTGGCGACATGTCCAATTCACACCATGAGCCCATTAAAATTGTACAATGTTTGGGGAAGCAGCCTCGTTTGGCCGGCGCTTTCGGTCAACAGATGTGCGCTTGACTTGCACACAAAGTGGCATGCCTCTGCAGGCCATCCTCTGTCCTGTGCCCTCTATCCCTGCCTCCCAGTGTGTTTATAGGATTTGTGTTCACATACAGTCCGTATGCTTTGGCACAAAAAAACTAAAAAAAACATCCGCCTGTAACATGCTCCGAAAATTCTCTGCAACTTCTGCCCACAGCACCCCCTACAATGGAACAAATGTTGCCTCTGGTTGTGGAACAAAAACCATGGCTCTGCTTGGAATCAACTTTTTTCCCTTCGCCCATTTTCCCCTTGTTTTGTTTTAATGGAGTCGTGTGTGTCGTGTAAATATTTTCCCTTTTTCTGGGGGCTTAAAGATTTGTGAGGCGGCTCGGTTCAGTTCGGTTCAGTTTTGGAACTTGTTTTTACGGTCTACAAACATCGTGGGGTACCACACCATACCATAGCTGGTAGTGTCTAACGAGCGGTAAAAAGCCTGGGAGCCTAAAAAATATGAGAAATTTAACCTCAAGCTGATTGCAGTTCATGTAGTGTATATACTGGAGAAATTGAACCTTTGGTTTTAAATGTTTGATTGCAGTGGGAATCAAGAAAAAAAAGGATTTCGTTTCTGATACCCTAGCAGATCGATATTTTCCCTATGAAGGATGGAAGGATACCCAAAGGTAATGAAAATATTTCTCTGAAAACGTATGAGAATGTGTTTCGAATATTCTACTATATTTTGCAAATCTATGATTATAAATTTCTTTTTAATCACATAGGGTAAAAATGTTTCCTCCAGCTTATTTTTAGAAATATCATTTTTTCTTAGGTCTCGAGATACAATACATTTTATTTTCTTGCTCAGTGCCACAGCATCCTTCCAAGCACCAAGAACAACAGCCGGCAGCCGTAACTACTGTAAAATTGTTGTTACTCAAAAACAGAATGGAAAGGAACGGGGAAGTGGGAGTGGTGTGTCCGAGAAGAATGACAGACCAGACAGGTGATAGATAACAAGGACAGTCTATGGTCATTTTT